TAACATAATATATAATGTATATATAATCATTTAAGGCAGCATATAAACATACATATATATATAACACTATTTCTCCCTTTCAAAAGAGAGCATGGCTGCTACAAATCCTAAAAAACAAAACATATATAATTACATATGGCAGGGAAGAAGAGAATAGAACACAACAAATATAACTTCCTATCTAAACAGTTTTGAAAGGCCTGTTCACAATTCAGATAATTAGAGGTCTAATTTAATTACAGGTCTCCTAACTCTGTTTGATCTTCTAGGACTATTCCCTCCATCAAGTTTTACAGGGGTTTCACTTACACTCTGTGCATTATCAGTGACAGACATATCATCACTACAATCAGTTGACACAGTGAGTGGATGCTGGGAAACATCATCTTTGACATCATCATGATGATGATCATCTGAAACTGTGTCAAGTTTATCATCATGTTCTGGTGCTACATTCATCTCGTCATGTGCCTGAATGATGTGATCCACATGAACATATCTCAAAGAGTTACCACATAGATCCACATACCTTGTCAATGACACCAGTTATCCACTTTGCATGTACAGTACCATAACCTTTAGCAATGTTCCTAACTCTCACCCTATCATTTACCTTGAACACTCTTTTACTGGAACTCTTATCATGATACATTTTTTGTTGAGCTTGTTTCCTCTCTACAACTTCAAACAGACTTGGCTTAACTAAACTTAATCTTGTTCTCAACTGTCTCTTCACCATTAACTCTGCAGGAGTACATCCTGTCACACTATGTGGCGTGGTTCTGTATCTGAGTAAGAAATTTGCTCGTCTGTGTTTCATTGATTTTCCTACAGTTCCTTGAATTACCTGCTTGGAAAGTGCTTCCTTTACAATTCTAACTGATCTCTCAGCTGCACCATTAGAGGCAGGATGATAGGGTGAGAGTTAGAAATATGGCTAAAGGTTATGGTACTGTACATGCAAAGTGGAAAACTGGTGTCATTGACAAGGTATGTGGATCTAGGACATATTTAGTGAAATGTGGTAACTCTTTATGATATGTTCATGTGGATCACATCATTCAGGCACATGATGAGATGAATGTAGCACCAGGACATGATGATAAACTTGACACTGTTTCAGATGATCATCATCATGATGATGTCAAAGATGATGTTTCCCAGCATCCACTCACTGTGTCAACTGACTGTAGTGATGATATGTCTGTCACTGATAATGCACAGAGTGCAAGTGAAACCCCTGTAAAATTTGATGGAGGGAATAGTCCAAGAACAGGGGTTCTTAACCTGGGGTCCATGAACTCCAAGGTGTCCATGGATGGGCTTCAGGGGGAGCAGAATTAAAGTTTTGTTTTGTTTAATTTGCACAAGATGATTGTATTTCATTTTTGTATGGAGTGGCCATTAATTTTTGCATAAAAAGTGTGAAACATAATTCTTTGTTAAGATTGTTTACTTTATTCATACTTTGTGTATGTCATACGCTGTATGAGGCAATGAATTTTCAATAAAATAAAGTACATTCATTGCATGCAAAGTTGTGTTTATGTGCTTATGTGCATTTTTCTAGGGAGGGGGTCCATAGCTTTCACCAGATTCCCAAAGAGGTCCGTGACTCAAAAAAGGTTAAGAACCACTGCTCTAGGGGAAAACAGAGTTAGGAGACCTGTAATTAAATTAGACCTCTAATTATCTGAATTGTGAACAGGCCTTTCAAAACTGTTTAGTTAGGAAGTTATATTTGTTGTGTTCATTAACTTATTCTGTATTTTTTTCATAATTCAGGCCTATTACAAACCTGTCTCTTAGAGCTCGGTTCAAGAACTGTCCAAAGTGAATGGATAACTTCTTCAAAGCTACTATATAATTACTTACTGATTCATCTTTACCTCTATCTCTTGTGCCAAATTTGTAACTTTCAGCGATCTCAAGTGGAGCAGGATCAAAATGTTGCTTCAGAATCTTGGTAATCTGAATCAGTGAGGAGTCTTTGGGCTTGTTTGGAACCAGCAGATTGACCAGAGTAGAATAAACATTAGCTCCTACCTCTGTCAAAAAGATTGCCTTCCTTTTCTCTTCAAGGGCCTTTCTCTTCTGAGCATCACCACCATCGTCCATTAATTCATTTGCCAGGAAGAAGAAGTCTATTCTCTCACAATATGATGTGAAATCTTCCTTGTCTGCATCATACTCCCCCACTCGTCCGATGTATCCACTGATGCCAGCCATGGTTGCTCTCTTCAAATAAATTCTCCAGGTTCAGAGTAGCCTTCCCTTCAGTGGTCACTATCCTCTCTTCAAGGACTTCACCAACATTTTGTGAATTCCATCCTCGTCGCCAGTGTAGTATCTTGCGTTATTTAATGGGAGAATGACAAGCACATGGTCGGTCTGGCTGGACCTTTATTCTCTGTTCTTGGTTACAACGTGCCTAACACATTTCGTGTTTACACAAGCCTAAACACTTTCTGACTTTGGTAAGAAGTAACATAATATATAATATATATATTCAATAAAGGCAGCATATAAACATACATATATATAACACACGTATTCAGATCTTACACTCTCACCCAGGGCCGGATTCAGGAGTGGGCAAAGTGGGCATATGCCCAGGGGCCTCCACAATCTGGGGACCTCCACATATTCCAATATTTTATTTATTTGTTTATTCATTTGGATTATTTTTATTTTCATTCCTTAAATTCATGTTTATCTATTCCATCACGTAAAACTATGTTCAGCAAGAAGAGTGATAGAAATTAAGCTAGCTACTCCTTGAAATTCATGAATACCTGGTTTTCCCATGAACAGTATATTTTTAATGAATGCTATTGTTTGTGTTGCTAACAATATATTTAGAATTCCACAAACATATATTGATTAAAAATGAACTACATTGAATAACGAAATTGAGATTAAAAAAAACAAATAAAATATTTTTTTCATTATCACTTCCATTACGAATGCCATCAGGGCGCTGTGTTTGTTGACAGTCGGTGGGAGGGGGTTGGGTGGTGTAGTATCTGCACATCGGTTGTCATGTGTCTGTAGATTAAAGAGGAGACTTGCGTCGCCCATTATTCGTGAACTTCCCACGAGTAGACATAAACATGTCTTGCAGAGAATTGTCGTATGTGCTTGTTGAGTGAAGTCGTCGCCGCTCAGTTGTCGCCACCCCACCCTCTTGGGTAGTTATAATGAGGGGGGCCTCCACAAAGAGGCTGCCCATGGGCCTCCACAGGTCTAAATCCGGCACTGCTCTTACCGTGCACAATCTTACTGGTGTCACATTACATTACATAGCAGGACCAGTTCCTTGTCCCTACTCACAATACACAGTTACATGGCAACTCCGTGCAGATTACTTTACTAGGTACTTCTCATTACATCCAGTTATAAGACCAATTGGCATATGATACTTCACAGACTGTTGGTAGTGCATAGGAGATGCACTCACAACAACACACTAATACTGATACAAACACCTACATGGATCCACTACCCAACATGGGGTAATTATTAACAAACACATATAACCACACTGTGGACCATAACTCCAAGGCATGTCCCAGGGTATAGCACTGGCGCCTCTAACAACTGCTGTTGTGGTCGGTTACACTCCGACACGAGGCGGGTCTGGGGCCCTCGGCCCACGAGGTAGAGTGGAGCCGATTAATCCTGCCGAATCAGCGCCATCACTCATATATTGACCACTGCTGGGTATCCACCGCTCCTAGGGACGGGTGGATTTCAATTAAGCCCACCCTCGATCTGAGAACGAAGGTGAAAGGTGATACGGGAGGTTTTGGGGAAGCATGGTGGGTCACAAACAAATCTTTCGTCTCGCCACGTCAGATATTTACGTTATAATACTTCTTACACTGGGTGAATGCCAATTCCACTGTTAAAGCATGAACACTGATATTCACTACAATAGACTGAATCAAACTGAATGTTTATAAACGCAGAACATACCTGAGAACGAAGGTGAAAGGTGGTACGGGAGGTTTACTCCTCCCGCCTCGCACTGGTTTATATACCCTTGAGTTGCCAGCGATCGCTACTCACGCAATGACAGAAATTACAAACAATCTAACTGCTACTCATTCAAGGATGACCCTCAGTTGACAAAGGTCTGGCGAATTACTAAAGTTGATTTACACAGACTAATTCAAGATTGCGTTTGCCAGTAGAGAGTGGAATAAACGTAGTGACAACTGTGTTCGAAGGCGGGACTTACTGGGAGTGATCCTGAGTGTAAAACGGATGGGAAAAACACGTCTCTCCTGAGATTCTACAAGCGCTGTGGATTTGAATGTTATGTAGAGTAATATGAATTAAAGTGGGTTTTTAGGAATGACAATGGTGTGCGCAGTACATCAGCTACCCTGAATTTGCCTAGCTTATACTACAGACGGGCAAGGGGTGACCTAATTGAGGTGTATAAGCATCTCAAGGGGCACTACTCAGTCGAGTGTCCTTACTTGGAGCTGGCGGATGCTCTCCCCACAAGGGGTCACAGCTCAAGATTGAAGACGCCGCAAGTCCAGAAAATTGTGAGGGCAAACTGTTTCGGAGTGAGAGTTGTGAACTCTTGGAAACAATCTACCAAAAAGTGTTGTGACAGCACCAAGCTCTTTCAAGACAAGACTTGACCAACACTGGAGCAGGTGCAGGTACATTCTGGAGCCAGTGCATGCCCAGTACTTGCCAACAGTGTGTAACAGAAACGTGACCGATCGCCCAAGTGGCTAACGAGCCAATCAGTGGTGAAGAGGATAAAAGAAGAAAAAAGTAAAGTTTCTTTAAAAGTGGAAGTGGCTGGCTCATCAAACAAGACCCTGAATAATGATTTAATAATACAGTATTAAAGAAGTTTTAAAGTGATGAATAAACAGAAATATGTCCCCGTTTAAGTGCTATATTTTACATTATTATTGTTTCATGATTTATTTCAATTTATACTTGAAATTATATGAAGCTCATTTGAGCACTAGCAATAGCAGAAATCCTACTGCTTGCTTGTCCATCAGGCCAACAGCCAGCAAAACAGGCAACATGTTTGGAGGAAAGTGCCCAGTGTGCTGCTGCCTTTATGTTCAGTCAGCCTCTGCCAGACAAGAAAGGGTGGTGTTGCTGTCGCATGTTCCTTATTAAATAGCTTTCCATGAGTTTGTGAGTAATCAGAGGAAATAAATAAAATATTTATAAATTCAAAAGAGAGAAAAATCATTTTACATTTTTATTTGGCTCACTTGCCCAAGAGGCTCTGGGGAAGTGTAAATGCCCAAAGCTCAAAATCATGTGATTGCAGCAACAGCCAGTCCCTGCCCACCTCCAGCACCTTTACACATCAAGTGTCATCTCATACCTGTTAGCTCTTGTTAGGATTACATAAAACTGATTAGACCACTGTACAGTGTCCCCATTAAAGACAATACAGTAAATATTCTAATAATGAATAAGGTAATATATTTCATAACAAATATTCTTTTAATGAACTGTACAAGTCATTTAAAAATTAAATATTATTTTATAAAATATATTACACTATTTAATATTAAAATATATACTGCATTGTCTTTAATGGGGATTCTGTACAGTGGTCTAATGAGACCTGAAATAGGCCTAATGAGAGTTAACAGGTACGGGTTGACACTTACTGTGTAAACATGCTGGAAGTGGGAAGGGGTGCTGACCTTGCCTCGTTCCACAGCTTATTTTCATTTATTCATTATTATATTCGACTGAGAAGTGCCCTTTGACATGTTTATACACCTCAATTAGGTCACCCCTTGCCCGTCTGCAGTATAAGCAAGGCAATTGCACGCACTTTAATCTCTCTAGGTAGCTGAGGTGCTGAAGTGCAGGCACCAGTCTGGTGGTCCTCCTTTGGACATTTTCAATCAACTGACAATCCTTAGCATACCACGGGGACCAGGCGGGGTGACAGTACTTCAGGCAGAGAAGCACCTCACTCTTGAAGATCGTTATGAGGGAAAGACCGTCTAGATATCTGAACAACCTTCTTATAAGACCTAATAATTTAGTTGCTAGGTTCACCTTCTTCTCACAATGGCCCGAGAACTTCAGTTCATTGTCAACTTACACACCCAGGTCCTTTTCGCATTCAGTCTCAATTAATGCAGTTTCTTCATCCCATTGGGACATATTATATCCCTCCTTACTGTTGGTACGTCCCAAGTGAATCCTCTTACACTTCATGACATTGAATCTCAGCAGCCATTTCTTTAACCATTCTTGAAGCTCACAAAGATCATTTTGCAGCTCTTCAAAGTCTGCTTGGTTCTTAATTTCTCTCAATAACTTGGCATCATCCACAAACATTTATAAGGAGGAGTGTATAGCTTCTGGCATGTCATTTATGAAGCAAACAAACAACAGAGGGCCCAATACACTGCCCTGCGGTGCCCGCTTGTCACGGGTACGCATGCTGATATCGTACCATTAATAGACACACACTGCTTGCGATCATAGAGAAAGTCTCTGATCCATGCTAAGACACGTCCCTGAATCCCGTACCCTCCCAGTTTAATTTTTAGCCTTTCATGGGGTACACTGGCAAAAGCCCTGGCAAAATCTAGGTAAAACTTATCAATATAGCGACCCTGTTCCAGAATTTGGTTCCAAACATCCACTACCTTGAGTAGTTGTGTTGAGCAGGAGCGTCCCTGCATAAAATCTGTTATCCTTTGCAATATTGTTTCGTAGTAGATGTTCCATCATGGCATCTCTTATAATGCTCTCAAGTGCTTTACATACTATGCTGGTCAGGCTCACATAAGCCATTTTCCAATCTTCCAGGCATTTACAGGACAAGATTTTTAGGGGATCAGCAAGCTCATTGCACGACTCTCTTAGCACTCAGGGATGCACCATGTCAGGGCAGGGACTCTTATGAACCTTTAGCTTTGACAGTTCATTTCTTATAATCTCTTCTGTGAACACAATGTGGATCAGTGCTGTGTCGAACCATCTGTCCTCAAACGCAGGAAGATTGTTCACATCCTCCCTTGTGAACACCATAAAAAAGAAACTGTTCAACGCCTCCTCTTCGTCCTGGTCAGAATCTGCACAACTACCATCTTCAAGCCTCAGGTCAGGGCCGGATTCAGGAGTGGGCAAAGAGGGCAGCTGCCCAGGGGCCTCCACAATCGGGGGCCTCCACATATTACATTATTTTATTTATTTGTTTATTCATTTTGGATTAATTTTATTTTCATTCTTTAAAATTCATGTTTATCTATTCCATCACATAAAACTATGTTCAGCAAGAAGCGTGATAGAAATTAGGCTAGCTACTCCTTGAAATTCATGAATACCTGGTTATCCCATGAACAGTATATTTTTAATGAATGCTATTGTTTGTGTTGCTAATAATACATTTAGAATTCCACAAACATATATTGATTAAAAATGAACTACATGGAATAACGAAATTGAGATTAAAAAAAAAAAAAAATATTTTTTTCATTATCACTTCCATTACGAATGCCATCAGGGCGCTGTGTTCTAATTTCCTCAATATAACTGCATATGGCTTCAAAATTCTCCAAAGCAGTGTTCAAATTTCAAAATTTTCCCGGGGGGCTTACAGCACCCCCCGGAACTCCCAGATGTTTAAGCTCGCTTCACTCGCCACCCCACCCTCTTGGGTTGTTATAATGAGGGGGGCCTCCACAAAGAGGCTGCCCATGGGCCTCCACAGGTCTAAATCCGGCACTGCCTCAGGTCCGATACTCTTATTCGCGTTATTAATTTGGAATTTGCGTAGCGATAAAACACCTTTGGGTTTGACATGACCTCGCTTGCAATCTGTCTCTGGAACTCATTGACAGCCCTTCTACACTCTGACTTTGCTTGGTTCCTGGATCTGGTTTACATCCTCCTGTCCTGCTCATTGTTTTTCCTGATCTACATCTCGAATTTCAGGGTTTTCTTCTTAACTTTGTCAACCGCTGCATAGTTCATGTGTAGCGGTCTATTTGTATTCCTGGAGGCACTGGGCTTCGTCTTGGGTATATATCAAATGGTTCACTTTACTGGCTATAATATTCAGCGTAGTGTCTGTGTTCTTATACCTTAGTGAGTCAGGCCAGTGGATACCCCTCATCTCCTCCCTCATCCCATCTTAATATTTAAACCTTGACCTGGTTTTGTCGTGAACCAAGTAATAGTTAAATCTGAAGGACAACGTTATGTGGACACTGGTGCCAACGGGGGTTAGGTGTTGCAGCTTGGCCACCCTACCCTCCTTGTTTGTTATGATGAAGTAATATTAAAAATACAATATATAGTTTGGAATGTGACTTCAAAATATTAAAGGAGAAATGGAAAAGGAAACACACATGACATTTATTGCAGATTAAAATACAAATTTAAGGGTCATCAGGGGACAAGGAGCTAACGAGTGGCTGTTTAGTGCACAGTGGTCCTCAGAAGCTGAATGTAATACGTAACTGCAATTACGTCTTAACATTTGTGATGGGGTCATGTTACTGAACTGACCTGATGCAATATCGGGTCACCCATTGTCGAGGTGGGGGATTAGTGGGTCTCATAACCTTAAGATATCTTAAATAAAGACGAAAGCTAAGGTACTCCTGTGTTTCCCACTTTCTGAATGTACTACAGCATAATATACATAACTGTAATCACTTTACATTCTTAACACTGCTTTAACACTGTATTCTTGGCTGATTGTGTCCTAGTAGAGTAACGTACAGCACTGCATAACACAAACTGTCCAGAAAAAACAGCAGCTAACGAGGGAACAACTTTCTATAATGGCAGCAGAATATGAACTAAGGATCCAAGCAGCTGGGCCACCCACAAGCCTGACACGTGGAGATGCGTTAAAGCATGACGCAATCTCTTGGAATGCCCTGAAAATTTAATCCCAGGCCCAGAATGGAGAGATTTGGAGAGCATTTCTGAAATTTTTCTCCTAATTTAAAAAAAAAAAATGCGCCTCATTTTCAACCCCAGAAAATCATTCACAAACCTGGAATTGAGAGAAATTTTCCGTTAAAATTCCAAGCAAATGCCAATGCCGGCTATTGGAGAGTTCTGACTCAGAGGCATTCCAGCTAACAGAGATATAACTACAAAAAGTAGTTCTATATTACTTAAACAGTTCCTTCACTTCTCATAATCACCCTCTGAGTTATGCCAATACACCAACATCAAGACAGGCAGTGTGACACAGGATGGAAGTGGGCTGGCTGATCAGGTACAGTATATTTGTGCTATGTAAACAAAGCACCAGGAATTTATTATGACATAATAACTCGTCTGTGGTCGAGTGTGAATTTGGGGGGGAAAATTTACTTGTGTTGAACCATTGAGATGGTATTCCTCCCTAAGGCTGGAGGAACATGTTAGTTGGGGGTAAGCTTACTGGGTGAAGGGTTGCAGGGTCGTCAGGGTCTTCAAACCCAGTGAATGCAGGCGGAGAATCTGGCTGAGGGGTAGGTGGAGACTCTGGCTGAGGGGCAGGTGGAGACTCTGACTGAGGGGCAGTGGAGACTCTGGCTCAGGGTGCAGGTGGAGACTCTGGCTGAGGGGCAGGTGGAGACTCTGGCTGAGGCAGGTGGAGACTCTGGCTGAGGGAAGGTGGAGACTCTGGCAGTGCAGGTGGGGCACCGGCTGAGGGCAGGTGGAGACTCTGGCTGAGGGCAGGTGGAGACTCTGGCTGAGGGGTGGGTGGAGAATCTGTCTAAGGGCAGGTGGAGGCTCTGGCTGAGGGGTGGGTGAGACTCTGGCTGAGGGTGGGTGGAGACTCTGGCTGAGGGGCAGGTGGAGACTCTGGCTGAGGCAGGTGGAGACTCTGGCTGAAGGTGGGTGGAGACTCTGGCTGAGGGGCAGGTGGAGACTCTGGCTGAAGGGCAGGTGGAGACTCTGGCTGAGGGGCAGGTGGACTCTGGCTGAAGGGCAGGTGAAGACTCTGGCTGAGGTCAGGGGAGACTTTGACTGAGGGCAAGTGAAGACTCTGGCTGGGGGCAGGTGGAGACTCTGGCTGAGGGGCGGAAGCAGACTCTGGCTGAGGGTCAGGGGAGACTCTGGCTGAGGGGCAGGTGAAGACTGGGCAGGTGAAGAACTCTGGCTGAGGGGCAGGTGGAGACTGACTGAGGGGCAGGTGAGACTCTGGCTGGGGGCAGGTGAAGACTTTGGCTGAGGGGCAGGTGAAGACTTTGGCTGAGGGGCAGGTGAAGAACTCTGGCTGGGGGCAGGTGAAGACTCTGGCTGAGGGGCAGGTGAAGACTCTGGCTGAGGGGCAGGTGAAGAACTCTGGCTGAGGGGCAGATGGAGACTCTGGCTGAGGGGCAGGTGAAGACTTGGCTGAGGGGCAGGTGAAGAACTCTGGCTGAGGGTCAGGTGGAGACTTTGACTGAGGGCAGGTGAAGACTCTGGCTGGGGCAGGTGAAGACTTTGGCTGAGGGCAGGTGAAGAACTCTGGCTAAGGGGCAGGTGAAGACTCTGGCTGAGGGGCAGGTGGACACTCTGTGAGGGGCAGGTGGAAACTCTGGCTGAAGGACGGGTGGAGACTCTAGCTGAGGGCAGGTGGAGACTCTGGCTGAGGTGGGGAGACTCTGTGGGGCTGGGTGGAGCTCTGGCTGAGGGTGGGTGGAGACTGGCCAGGGGCAGAGTGGAGACTCTAGCTGAGGAGCAGGTGGAGACTCTGGCTAAGAAAGAATGGGGGCAGTGGAGACTCTGGCTGAGGACAGGTGGACTCTGACTAAGGGGCTGGTAGAGACTCTGGCTGAGGGCAGGTGGAGACTCTGGCTGAGGGGCAGGTGGAGACTCTGTCTAGGGGCTGGTAGAGACTCTGGCTGAGGGGCAGGTGAAACTCTGAGGGGCTGGTAAGACTCTGGCTAAGGGGCTGGTGGAGACTCTGGCTGAGGGGCAGGTGGAGACTGGCTGAGGGGGGCTGGTAGAGACTCTGGGCGAGGGCTGGTGGAGACTCTGGCTGAGGGGCAGGTGGAGACTGGCTGAGGGCTGGTAGAGACTCTGGCTGAGGGGTGGTGGGAGACTCTGGCTGAGGGGCAGGTGAGACTCTGGCTGAGGGGCGGAAGGCTCCTGGCTGGGGGGTCAGGGGAGACTTGACTGTGGGGCAGGTGAAGACTCTGGCAGAGGGGCAGGTGGAGACTCTGGCTGAGGGGCAGGTGGAGACTTTGACTGAGGGCAGGTGAAGACTCTGGCAGAGGGGCTGGTAGAGACTCTGGCTGAGGGGTGGGTGGAGACTCTGGCTAAGGGGGCTGGTAGAGACTCTGGCTGAGAGGGCAGGTGGAAAATCTGGCTGAGGGGCTGGTAGAGACTCTGGCTAAGGGGCTGGTGGAGACTCTGGCTGAGGGCAGGTGGAGACTGGCTGGGGGCTGGTAGAGACTCTGGCTGAGGCAGGTGGAGACTGACTGAGGCAGGTGAGACTCTGGCTGAGGGGAGTGGAGACTCTGGCTGAGGGGCAGGTGGAGACTCTGGCTGAGGGTGGGTGGAGACTCTGGCTGAGGGGGGTGGGAGGAGACTGGCTGGGGGCAGGTGGAGACTCTGGCTGAGGGGCAGGTGGAGACTCTGGCTGAGGGGTGGGTGGAGACTCTGGCTGAGGGGCGGAAAAAACTCTGGCTGAGGGGCAGGTGGAGCTCTGGCTGAGGGCAGGTGAAGACTCTGGCTGAGGGGCAGGTAGAGACTCTGGCTGAGGGGTGGTGGAGACTCTGGCTGGTCAGGTGGAACTCTGGCTGAGGGTGGGTGGGGCTGGCTGAGGGCAGGTGGAGACTCTGGCTGAGGGGGTGGGTGGAGACTCTGGCTGAGGGGCAGGGGAAGAGACTTGGCTGAGGGCAGGTGGAGACTCTGGTTGAGGGTGGGTGGGGACTCTGGCTGAGGGGCAGGTGGAACTCTGGCTGAGGGGGGTGGGGAGCTCTGGCTGAGGGTCAGATGGAGACTCTGGCTGAGGGTGGGTGGAGACTCTGGCTGAGGGGTGGGTGGAGACTCTCGGCTGAGGTCAGATGGAACTCTGGCTGAGGTGAGTGGAGACTCTGGCTGAGGGCAGGTGGAGACTCTGGTTGAGGGTGGGTGGAGACTCTGGCTGAGGTGGGTGGAGACTCTGGCTGAGGGCAGAAGGGCTCTGGCTGAGGGTCAGGTGAGACCTGGCTGAGGGGTGGGTGGAGACTCTGGCTGAGGGCGGAAGAGACTCTGGCTGAGGGGGCAGGTGGAGACTCTGGCTGAGGGGTGGGTGGAGACTCTGGCTGAGGGTTAGGTGAGACTTGACTGTGGGGCTGGTGAGAGCTCTGGCTGAGGGCAGGTGGAACTCTGGGCTGAGGGTGGGTGGAGACTCTGGCTGAGGCTGGAAAGAACTCTGGCTGAGGGGCAGGTGGAGACTTGGCTGGGGGCAGGTGAAGACTCTGGCTGAGGGGCAGGTGGAGACTCTGGCTGAGGGTGGGTGGAGACTCTGGCTGAGGGGTGGGTGGAGACTCTGGCTGAGGGCAGTTGGAGACTCTGGCTGAGGGGCAGGTGGAGACTCTGGCTGAGGGGGTGGGTGGAGCTCTGGCTGAGGGGCGGAAAGAGACTCTGGCAGAGGTCAGGTGGAACTCTGGCTGAGGGGCAGGTGAGACTCTGGCTGGGGATGAGTGGAGACTCTGGCTGGGGTGGGTGAGAGCTCTGGCTGAGGTGGCAGGTGAAGACTCTGGCTGAGGTGGCAGGTGAAGACTCTGGCTGAGGGTGGGTGGAGACTCTGGCTGAGGGGTGGGTGGAGACTCTGGCTGGGGGCAAGTGGAGCTTGGCTGAGGGGTGGGTGGAGACTCTGGCTGAGGGGTGGGTGGAGACTCTGGCTGAGGGCAGGTGGAACTCTGGCTGAGGGCAGGTGGAACTCTGGCTGAGGGGGAGAAAGAGACTCTGGCTGGGGTCGGTGAGACTCTGTGAGGGGCAGGTGAAGACTCTGGCTGAGGCAGGTGGGGCTTTGACTGAGGGCAGGTGGAGCTCATGGGGGCTGGTAGGACTCTGGCTGAGGGTGGGTGGAACTCTGGCTGGGGCTGGGTAGAGACTGCTGAGGGGCAGGTGGAAACCTGGCTGAGGGGCTGGTGAGAGCTGCTAGGGGCTGGTGGGGACTCTGCTGGGGGCACGTGGAGACTGGCTGAGGGGCTGGTGAGACTCTGGCTGAGGGGCAGGTGGAGACTTGACTGAGGGGCAGGTGAAGACTCTGGCTGAGGCAGGTGGAGACTCTGGCTGAGGGGCAGGTGGAACTCTGTGGGGGTGGGTGGAGACTCTGGCTGAGGGGTGGGTGGAGACTCTGGCAGGGGCAGTGGGGCTCTGGCTGAGGGCAGGTGGAGCTCTGGCCGAGGGGTGGGTGGAGACTCTGGCTGAGGGGGGAAAGAGACTCTCTGGCGAGGGGCAGGTGGAGCTCTGCTGAGGGGCAGGTGAAGACTTTGACTGAGGGCAGGTGAGACTCTGGCTGAGGGGTGGGTGGGGGCTGGCTGAGGGCAGGTGGAGGCTCTGGCTGAGGTGGCAGGTGAAGACTCTGGCTGAGGGGCAGGTGAAGCTCTGGTTGGGGCAGGTGGAGACTCTGGCTGAGGGGTGGTGAGCTCTGGCTGAGGGCAGTTGGAGACTCTTGGCTGAGCAGGTGGAGAGTCTGGCTGAGGTGGCAGGTGACTCTGGCTAAGGGGCTGGTAGAGACTCTGGCTGAGGGGTGAGTGGAGATTCTGGCTGAGGGTCAGATGGAGAATCTGGCTGAGGGCAGCTGGAGACTCTGGCTGAAGGGCAGGTGGAGAGTCTGGCTGAGGGCGGAAGAGACTCTGTGAGGGGCAGGTGGAGACTCTGGCTGAGGGCAGGTGAAGACTTTGACTGAGGGGCAGGTGAGGCTCTGGCTGAGGGTGGGTGGAGACTCCTGGCTGAGGGCAGGTGGAGACTCTGGCTGAGGGCAGGTGAAGACTCTGGCTGAGGGGCAGTGAGACTCTGGCTGGGGGTGGTGGAGACTCTGGGCTGAGGGCAGGTGGAGACTCTGGCTGAGGGCAGGTGAAGACTCTGGCTGAGGGGCAGGTGGAGACTCTGGCTGAGGGCAGGTGGAGACTCTGGCTGAGGGGCAGGTGAGACTCTGGCTGAGGGGTGGGTGGAGACTCTGGCTGAGGGGCAGGTGGAACTCTGGCTGAGGGCAGGTGAAGACTCGGCTGAGGGGCAGGTGGAGACTCTGGCTGAGGGCGGAAGGAGACTCTGGCGGGGTCAGGTGGAGACTGACTGAGGGGCAGGTGAAAACTCTGGGCAGAGGGGCAGGTAGAGACTCTGGCTGTGGGGTGGGTGGAGACTCTGGCTGAGGGGCAGGTGAAAACTCTGGCTGAGGGGCAGGTGAGACTCTGGCTGAGGGCAGGTGAAAACTCTGGCTGAGGGGCAGGTGAAGACTCTGGCTGAGGGGCAGGTGGAGCTCTGGCTGAGGGCAGGTGGAGACTCTGGCTGAGGGGCAGGTGGAAACTCTGGCTGAAGGACGGGTGGAGACTCTAGCTGAGGGCAGGTGGAGACTCTCTGCCTAAGGGCTGGTGGAGACCTCTGAGGGGGTGGGTGGAGACTCTGGCTGAGGGGCAAGTGGAGACTCTGGCTGAGGAGCAGGTGGAGACTCTGGCTAAGGGGCAAGTGGAGACTCTGGCTGAGGGCAGGTGGAACTCTGGCTGAGGCAGTGGAGACTCTGGCTGAGGGGTGGGTGGGAGCTCTGGCTGAGGTGGGTGGAGACCTGGCTGAGGGCAGGTGGAGACTCCTGGCTGAGGGGCAGGTGGAGACTCTAGCTGAGGGGTTGGTGGAGACTCTGGCTGAGGGGCGGAAGAGACTCCTGGCTGAGGGGCAGGTGGAGACTCTGGCTGAGGGGCAGGTGAAGACTTTGACTGAGGGCAGGTGGAGACTCTGGCTGAGGGGTGGGTGGAGACTCTGGCTGAGGGGCAGGTGAAGACTCTGGCTGAGGTGGGAGTGAAGACTCTGGCTGAGGGGCAGGTGAAGCTCTGGTTGAGGGCAGGTGGAGACTCTGGCTGAGGGGTGAGTGGAGACTCTGGCTGAGGGCAGTTGGAGACTCTGGCTGAAGGGCAGGTGAAGAGTCTGGCTGGTGGCAGGTGAAGACTCTGCTAGGGGCTGGTAGAGACTCTGGCTGAGGGGTGAGTGGAGACTCTGGCTAGGAGTCAGATGGAGAATCTGGCTGAGGGGCAGTTGGAGACTCTGGCTGAAGGGGCAGGTGGAGAGTCTGGCTGAGGGCGGAAGGAGACTCTGGTTGAGGGGCAGGTGGAGACTCTGGCTGAGGGGCAGGTGAGGCTTTGACTGAGGGGCAGGTGAAGACTCTGGCTGAGGGGTGGGTGGAGACTCTGGCTGAGGGGCAGGTGGAGACTCTGGCTGAGGGCAGGTGAAGACTCTGGCTGAGGGGCAGGTGAAGACTCTGGCTGAGGGGTGGGTGGAGACTCTGGCTGAGGGCAGGGGTGGAGACTCTGGCTGAGGGGCAGGTGAAGATCTGGCTGGGGGCAGGTGGAGACTCTGGCTGAGGGGGCAGGTGGAGACTCTGGCTGAGGGGCAGGTGGAGACTCTGGCTGAGGGGTGGGTGGAGACTCTGGCTGAGGGCAGGTGGAGACTCTGGCTGGAGGGCAGGTGAAGACTCTGGCTGAGTGGGTGAGAGACTCTGGCTGAGGGCGGAAGGAGACTCTGGCTGAGGTCAGGTGGAGACTTTGACTGAGGGCAGGTGAACACTCTGGCTGAAGGGCAGGTAGAGACTCTGGCTGTGGGGTGGGTGGGGACTCTGGCTGAGGGGCAGGTGAAAACTCTGGCTGAGGGCAGGTGAAGACTCTGGCTGAGGGCAGGTGAAAACTCTGGCTGAGGGCAGGTGAAGACTCTGGCTGAGGGGCAGGTGAAGACTCTGGGCTGAGGGCAGGCGGGCTCTGGCTGAGGGGCAAGTGGAGACTCTGGCTGAGGGGCAGGTGGAGACTCTGGCTGAGGGCAGGTGGAAACTCTGGCTGAAGGACGGGTGGAACTCTAGCTGAGGGCAGGTGGAGACTCTCTGGCTAGAGGCTGGTGGAGACTCTGGCTGGGGGTGGAGATGGCTGAGGGCAAGTGGAGACTCTGGCTGAGGCAGGTGGAGACTCTGGCTAAGGGCAAGTGGAGACTCTGGCTGAGGGCAGGTGGAGACTCTGGCTGAGGACAGGTGTGAACTCTTACTAAGGGGCTGGTAGAGACTCTGGCTGAGGCAGGTGGAGACTCTGGCTGAGAGGTGGAGACTCTGGCTAAGGGGCTGGTAGAGACTCTGGCTGAGGGCAGGTTGAGACTCTGGCTGAGGGGCTGGTAGAGACTCTGGCTAGGGGCTGGTGGACTCTGGCTGAGGGGCAGGTGGAGACTCTGGCTGAGGGGCAGGTGGAGACTCTGGTTGAGGGGCTGGTAGAGACTCTGGCTGAGGGGCAGGTGGAGACTCTGGCTGAGGGGCAGGTGGAGACTCTGGCTAAGGGGCTGGTAGAGACTAATAATAATAATAATAATAATAATTAACGGTTTATTGAAAGAGCTTGGCAGCCAGAAGGCTGAAAATATACAGTTACATAATTGGGGAATGGGTTACGAATTACAAATAATATACAAGTAACATGAGTGACACAAATAAAACATATAATAACTAGATGGGAAAAGCTCAAACTACAGTTCATTTCAACATAGTGACAGTGCAAGGAGTAGTGTTTACTGGGAGTGAATACACTGATTTATTACAAATTGAAATGTTTTACAATGGTTGGGACTGGGCTGTTCTTATAGATCAGTTCGTGCGTATGGGCTGGATGGGTTGTGGTGTCGAACAGCAATTCTCAGACTAGGGATCTCAGGTGGTAGTAGGGCAGTCGGGGATGGTGTAGAAGTTTCTTACCAAATTTGCAGATGAGGTCGTGGTGATGGTCAGTGAGAACGAAAGGGCCGTGTGTTGAGCGCCTTGATATGTAGGAAGGAGAGAATAATCTTGCATGCCCCTTTGCACTTTTTCTAGGTGTTTACGTTGTGTGGCATTTAGGAGGAAGACCAGGTGGGGGAGGATAGGTGCTTAAGTATGAATGTTGTGTAAACACTGAGGAGCTGTGGTGCAGGAACTCGAGGGACTTGATCGGCGAGAGGTGGGACGAAACTGGAGGATTGATAACTTACTGACGTGTGTTTCCATTTAGTTTGTTGTCTATGGTGACGCCGAGAGCTGTGAATCTACCAACCTGGAGTGTGTTCGACCCAGAGTAATGGAAGGAGGTGGGACAATGTCGGAGGAGAGGTTGATGTGCAACCATGGTCTTGGTATGGTTGATGGTGACATGGTTGTTGGTGGCCCAGTTTTGAGACTGTTCAATAACCGAAGGGCGGTATAGTTGGGAGCAGAATTGTTGACGCTGATCCCAATGGTGAGTCGTCGACATATTTACAGCGAGCAGGGGTTTCTCTTAGGGCATCATTGATGAGCATAAGGAAGCAGAGTGGTCCCATCTTGGTGCCTTGGGGGACGCCACAGGTGAGTGACTGAAAGGTGCAGACAGCCCCTCGGAAGCGTACAGCTTGGCGTCGGTCACTGAGGAAGTCTGTAAGCCATGGTATAAGACTTCTCCGAAACCCTGGTAGAGACTCTGGCTAAGGGGCTGGTAGAGACTCTGGCTGAGGGGCAGGTGGAGACTCTGGCTGAGGGGCAGGTGGAGACTCTGGCTGAGGGGCAAGTGGAGACTCTAGCTGAGGGGCAGGTGGAGACTCTGGTTAAGGGACTGGTAGAGACTCTGGCTGAGGGATAGGTGGAGACTTTGGCTGAGGGGCAAGTGGAGACTCTGGCTGAGGGGCAGGTGGAGACTCTGGCTATGGGGCAGGTGGAGACTCTGGCTGAGGGGCAAGTGGAGACTCTGGCTGAGGGGCAGGTGGAGACTCTGACTATGGGGCAAGTGGAGACTTTGGCTAAGGGGTAGGTGGAGACTCTGGCTGATGCTTTTGCTTGTGGTAAAGGGCACAGACGACTGTAAAAGTTAATGGATGAGGCTCATTTGGCTGAGTCTTAGGAACAGGCCTGAAGAAATGGGTGACTTTGGCTTACTTTGCCTGCCCCTTCTTCTACCGGTGAAGCTCCATGTAGCAGCTGAATTACCTGCAGGCCATTCCTCACCTTGAAGCTGCATTCACCATCAGGGTCCAGATCGAAAACAATCTGGCTGCAGGTCCACACGTTACCCAGAATGTTTTCAATGTAGGGAAGGTGTGTAGTGATTCCTCTGCTGCCTGCTCATTCTTCCGTTCCTCCAGCTCCAGCAGATCCTCAATGCTGAGCTCCTTCTCGTGAAAGACGAGGAGCTCAGTAACCTCCTCTTCTGTAACCTCATTGAATCCAGCTTGCTGGGCCAGAGACAATTGTCTTGGTGACCTCAAGGACATCTGGTGCATGGGTATGTACAACCTCAGACCAAAACTGTCACCTAACACCATTTATGGTTCCAGGTGATATTTCATCCGGTACTTGATGTCCACTCCGCCGGCTAAGTTGGCACTGGCACGAGTAAGGAAGTCAGCCAAGAAAATGGAAAAAACGAGTTGGTGCCAGTACACATCCTTGTTTTACCCCTGTTTGAATGGGGAAGAACTCAGGCTGGATGCCATTGTGTAGGACAACGGCCGTTCATGTCGTGGAGTTGCCTCACCGAATCAAAAGCATTGGTTAGGTCGATGAAGGCCATGTACAGGTCACAACACTGTTCTCTGCACTTTTCCTGTATCTGGCAGGCAACAAAGATCATGTCAGTGGTGCCATGTGATGGTCTAAAGCCACATTGAGATTCTGGGAGGATGTTTTCCACCTCAGGAAGAAGTCTGTCTAGGACTCGGGCGATAATCTTGCCAGCTACGGACAGCATCGATATCCCGCGGTAGTTGCCACAGTCTGACCGGTCTCCCTTGTTCTCATAAATAATGACAATGGAGGCATCATAAGAGCTTGGGGGATTTCCACCTATTCCCATATATTTTCCAGGAGAGAGTGGAGACAGCTGGTAAGCAGAGGTCCACCTGCTTTATACACCTCGGCTGGATGGAGGATAGCCGAGGTGGGTCAGCTCTGGATGCTGAGGGACCTGCTGGGTAGCCAGGACATCCACATCAGTGTTTCGATTGAGCAGCGAATGGTAGAGCTCTTTCCAGCGCTGAAGGATGCCTTCTTTGTCTTTAATTAGTTACCGTCGAATGAGTGGAGGGGGCTGCGCCATGTGTGGTTGGCCCATAAAATGTTCTAGTGGATTGAAAAATTCATGCATCTTGAGTTGATCTGCAAGTTTTTGCATTTCACATGCTTTATTTTTAAACCAGTCATTCCTTAGATTGTGAAGTTCGTGCTGGGCCGCTGCTTTCTTCTTGCGGAAGGTATCAGCTTTGGATCAAGACTGAGGGTTGTTCTGCCAGTCCTTTAAAGCAGCATGTTTATCATTGATGAGTATATTGATTTCTGGGTCATTTTCATCAAACCAGTCCTGGTGTATTCTTTCGATCTGGCCGAGGGTCTCTCTGTAGGTTTTTATCATGAGTGTCGAGAATACCCCATTCGGCACTGAGATTTGGGTTGTTTGTTGTAGGGTTGTTTATCAGCTCATGTTCGAGCTACTCTCTGGCCAAATGCTTAGTGTTAAAACCTCATCTTGAGGCTTGTTGCCTTCAAGTTCTCACTTCACACACACACACACATACACACACACACACGCATGCATGCACGCAAGCACACTACTACTACTACTTTGCCACACACACAGAGATAAATATTAGGGGGAACCTCCTCTCAAATATTATCAGAAAAAAAATTATCGAAATGCAGAAAGATAAGAGTCTAGCCTCAAGTCATCTCCATGCTTTGTGAAAGTCCAGTTGCTGTGCAGCAATTTTTTCCTTGTCAAAATTACTGTATCTAGATCCGAATGGCATCTGATCTCCAGCTGGGCTGATAGATCAAACTTACTGAATTTCTTAGTTAGCCAACCAACCATAACAAATTAGTTGTTCGATTTCATTTAATTTCTACACAAATGTTTCTTATCATTATAATAAGTATTTAAAAAATAGAAAACAACTTTTATTTTAATTACAAAGAAGCTTTAAAGGATTTTAGTTTTTCTTTATTTACATTCATAAATCACCTGGGCAGGGCATGAAGGATGCAGGAAGCTGTAAGGTAAAACATGATGAAAAACTGATGTGACAAAAAATGATGCCTCTACATGCTTTATATGTTAAGAAATTAATTATTTACCGTAAATACGCCTACGACAAATATGCCGAATTGTTGCATATTCTCGTCTGCTCAGTTTGTTAAAAACTAATGCGTGTAAGTTCATGCCCACAAATAACATAAAATTACACCATGATGCTTTAACAAAGTTGCTTTCATTGGTACCAGACTATAAAGTTAGGTAAGGTTAGGTTTCTTTTGCTGGTTAGGTCAGGGTGTACAGTATTAGGTTCTAGTGGAAAATTAAAAAAAATTATCAATGATAAATAAATTGCAAAAAATATGAACATGATTATTTTATATTGATTATTGTGTGTGCATACAAGTAATAGAAAATGATAGCATGTTAGCATGCTTCCTAAACCTGTCAAACCATCCATGGCTAGCAATGAAGTCAGGAGTATTGAAGGGCCTGGCTTATGAGACAATTCCTCTGCCAGATGTCGTCGATCCATGACATCAACAACCTCTCCATATTCTCGAGCATGGGGTCATACACTCTGGTCATAGTCCTCAAAAAGGTTGACTCACACTCACCAGCAACAGCCTTGTACTTTTCCTTATCTTTGAGGATAGTAGAGACAGTTGAGGGCAGCAAGTTCAAGTCTCTACCAATCTTTGCTGGTCCATCACCACTCTTATTATGCCTTATCACATGAAGGTTGACAATAAGACTCACAGACTTATGCGATCTCTTGGGGGCAGCAGAAGAGGAACTACCACTCAGGTGTTTAGGCATGATATCGAAGCACACGAAGTCGGAAACAACAGGGTAAACGAAAACCACCAAGTCGGAGACAACAAGGTAAAGTGTAAACACGTGCAATGAAGTAGGACCGACTTAGAGGCAGGGCACGAGCCCTCTTGTGGCAAGAATTTGCACCACACCACTGCCTGCCAAATTCAAAACAGCTCTGCCATTCCTCCTTCAATCGTCAGATCAGCAGGGTAGTCTATGAAACTTGCGAGGTATTTCCCCAATACGTATTCATCGGTTTAAGGGGTATTCTGTATTCCCATGTCATGAGCAACTCACAGGATATACTCAGGTCAAGATATTATAGAACAATAGCTTTATTGAAGCCATGTCTGAAACCACACCTGGGTAGATATTTTGTGGTGGGACTTATTTGCATAGTAATTGTGCAAAATATGTCAACCAAGGCTTATTTCATAGGAATAGATATTTTGCACAACTCCAGCACCAAGTGAACCTAAATTATAATGGAATTATGGTGAAATTGCATAGTGTCATTCTGAAAAGGTCGTAGGGGTGAAGGAGCACTCCAGGAGCGGAGAGAGGAAGTTGTCCTCTCAGTCCAGCTACTCACATACACTACCTCCCATCTCTCCCACACAGAATTCACATCCCAGTCTTCACTTTTCTTCTTTTTTATTTTTATAATATAATTTCTTTATTTCTAAGTCACATTAGATCATTGTATTACATTATAATATTTTAATATTTGTGGAGGGTTTTGGTAAAGGGGTTGGTATATAAGAAATTTGTTAGGTATAAAGATGAAATACTGTACTGAAATCTGAGGAGTGGTTTGGCATAATGTATAGCAAATTTTGGTATATAGATGTTTGGTATAGAGAGGTAATACTGTACATTTATAGTTTTGAAACTTTGTGGTTAACATGGTGGGATGGACATCATGGTTCTACTGAGGTTAATAACCACTCAAAGACCATTCACATATGCCCTGTAGTGCCTTGTCTCCCACTGACAGTTGTTTTCTTTGGCCAGTCACATAATAATACCAGTTGGTAGTCTGCTGGTGTACAAATCTTACATTCACTTCAAAGGTTGCTGATTTTATTTTATTCTTATAACAAAATACAAAAGGGTGTAAGGAAGATTCTCAGCAACCATTCTTTTTTATGGGAAACAACATAAGATAAATAGATGAGATGATTATGGGTCTTGTTAGCTCTTCCCAACAGAGAGACAGTAGGAGTAACAGATATGGCATATTTCATAATACAGTACTGTATTCCAAAAGAACTCAGATAAAAGTCAGACCTTTCCTATGTACTAACTTGACTCATAGGAGTACTCTTGTAATATTTGTATCAATTAAACTCATTTTAAAATATATTTTTAATGAATATGTTATATATTAACATATTACTCTATAATAAAATACACAATGTCAAGAATCATGTCTGAGCATAATCTTTAAACACAATAGACGAGCCACACAGTCTGCAGCCCTTCTCCCTAAAATCATTGTCAATTTTGGGAAAAGCTTTCTGTGTAAGACTAAGTTAATAAACACAGTAGAGCGTCAATCAACTAACGTTCAATTAAATGACTGTTTACTGACTAAACCTGGAACAAGCCATATATTTCTTAACCAGCTAGGATTTCCTGGCATAAAAAATTTATAAATAAAATTATATGAATGAGATGAATTATTTGAACCTTTCTGAATGACATTACTTTTCTGTACAGAGATGTCTAAAAATTAATTCTGATAGCAAAATGTTGAGTTCGTTGAGATAATCGGCGCTCTACATCATGATGAAGTAAATGCCTAATGTACCCACACAAAATCTCATTACTGCAATATACAATTACAGCTTGGCAGAGCTTTACAATTATTTTACGGTAAAATAATGCTATGCAATGCATTCATGGCACAAATTTTGCATCATAAAAGAACTCAAAACATTTTACTACTTTTGTTATTCAATTCTACAGAAATAAATTTTTTTTTCAACTCAATAATAACCTATACTTTCAATTATGCAGTGATCTAATTGCAATTATCCATGACGACACAATTTTTCAAAATTTTTGTTTTAACTTTTCTGGGGCTGCCTAGCTGAGGCACACAACAGGTTGTAGGAGAGGAGGTAGGATCTGTGAGATTATGTTACTATAACACAGGACTCATTATGGCATGGTATGATTCATAGAGATAGTATTCACTCTCAAGGACAAACAATTTATCATAAAGGGTGTGAAAACAACCAACAATCATCCATATGCTGAATCATTAATATGCACTAGTCTTTGCTGCTCAACTCATGAAAAAATGTAATACAATACCATAATAAAAATTCAGAGTAAATTTTCATCTTTTCAAATTCAACTATAGGTAATTTAAGATATGCAATACAAAAATTACCAAGTACTAGGCCGGATGGCATCGGTCATATATGGAAGCACTATCGTGGGAAGTGAAGGAGTTTGTGCCTTGTCTCCCACTGACAGCTGTTTTCTTTGGCCAGTCACATAATAATACCAGTTGGTAGTCTGCTGGTGTACAAATTTTACATTCGCTTCAAAGGTTGCTGATATAATTTTGTTCTTATAGGATAAGTCCCTCCCCTTTCTTCAACCTTCCCTTATCATTGCATGCCTCCCACTTTATAATTTTTCTTTATTAGTAAAGCAAACCTACAATATAAGATGTAAATTCAAATTCACTGTGTGACTGAATTATATATTTTATATTCACATTACTCTGAATCCTTCCAAGTGTTTTCTTTTTTGGGTAAATACTACAGGATAACCCTCACCTTTTTCACACATTCTTAATTTAGTGATAGTAAGTGGTGATGGCTTCAAATATGAACAGCTAAACCAGCAAGCAGGAATCTTCAGCAAATACCTTTAAGCATCTTGTACACCTGAGGGTTTGAAAGTGGTCACTAGCTGATGCATTTGATGAACACACTGCACACACCAGTCTCTTTTGGATGTGGGAAAGGCATACATGACACTGATACTGACAGAAAATTAAATTTACATGTATGAAAACTAGTTAATTATAACTACAAATTTTATCATCTATAACATTTATTAATAAAAATTACCCATCAAAGAACAAAAAAGTAAATTTAATTTTCTACAGAGAATGGCAAACAGTGTTCTGAAAGATGGAAGTAAATGGACCAGAAAAAATGGGTACTCATATTCAATGCCTATTATGTGTTATGAATATATCACAACTGCCCCTTTGATGTGTAACCAGCTATAGAAAGTACTTTGGTAGTTCAACAAAACACTGATAAAAATAAAACAATAACAACAGCTGTCACTTGTTTACTTTGGATATATTGCAGGTCACTATCATATACAAAACTCTCTTCATACAATGCATCTAAGAAAGCTGTTGTTTGTCATGTTTACATCTGATGACTTCCTTTACGCAGCACATCCAGCCAAAAAGTGGTCAAATACATGTATGTTTTATCAGAATACAAAACAGGGAAAAAAACACAGAAATCTTTCATCATATAAGACTATTAATAAATTCACTCAAAATATATTACAATTACAAAAAGAAAATTCTTGCAATGAATCTCTCATAATAATCACAGCTAGAGCAGTCTGCTCCAAGCAAAATATAAGAACTTATTACTTTGATTTAACTCTTGCTGCTATCACGCGATTCCCTCTACATGAACGCAGTTCCTCACAGCATACTAGGGTTATGTGTAGGGTTGCAAGTCTTACAATCATCAGCTGGAGCCCACCCAGCTGGGTCAGAAAAAGCAGCTGAACAACCCTCAGTGACACTGGCTGTTGCATCACATACTCCTGGGATGCTCTTCACTCTCATGAACCCTCAGTCCATTCTGAAAAACAAAAGTATTGATCTGATATTTACTTCATCACAGCACACAAAAGCATATAACATAGGACTGGATGTAGGAAAAAGCATTGATTTGAATAAAATAATATTTTAAAGAATCCAAAGTAAGTGAGAAAGATGTCACATGCATTACCTTGCACTCAAGTAAAAAAAAGTTAAACATCTAAAATGAGTTAAACACAATTATTAATAAACTTATGCAAGGTCAAAAAGTTCAAGTGTAGGTACCAGTGACCTAATTTGGTTCACTAGTATGTGTCAAGTTGCATGTGCCTGGGAAGTTTCATGAGTATAGCCAATGTTGTGTACAAAAAGTCAGCTCATACAAAGGTCCCTGTACTGTAAAATCATGAAGGTTAAGACTACAGGATATAAGTTTCTTCCACATTCAAGGCAGGGGGTAAAAAAAAAATAAATTTCTGTATTGATAAATACAATATATCAATAAATCAAGATACCATCCTTGTGTTTGGGGGTTAGCAGCCTTGGCTGCGTTCAGTTGGGCAATACTGTATGCACACTACGTAGCGTGCACTTGCTGCTGAATGGGACAGTATTGCAATACCGTATTTTCTGCATGACGTACGAAACCAATCGCTTTGTAGCACGGTTTGTTAATAATAATAATAATAATAATAATAATAATAATAACAATAATAGCTACTCTTTTGTTTCTCAAAAGCGCCAGTTCTTCTAAAGAATTCAATAGTGCTCGAAACACTTCAAAGACACAGACTTGAGAAAAGAAATATTGTACCACATAACACAGTAAAAAGTCACAAAAAATGACATTTCGACTTCTATCATTCATATACCCTTTAGTTTTAATACTTCCTAAACCCTGTAATTCTCCATTACCATACACTGTTCAGGATCATAAGGTTTAAAAAAAAAAGAAAGATCTTAAAGTTGTTTCTTAAAGACCTCCACAGACATCAGCTGCTTCATGGATGCAGACAACCAATTGTACAATCTGGGTGCTGTATAGGAAAAGGATGGGGCAGTAAAAGAACATTGTCCAGGCTCCACAAGGCGTGAAGGATCATCACTACTATGCAAAATCATTTCAGAATGTGTAGTCAGTGTAATTAAAAGGTTGGCCAAATGCTTAAGGTCGCCAAGGTCTTAAAAGTCATTAGACAAAGTTTGAACTCTCTCCTAGCTTTAATTGGGAGCCAATGTACAGTGGGGTTTCATTATGCGCAGGTACATCGTACTGGTACATGTCCGGCCATGGGAAATTCGCACAAGTGATGCACTTTATCACATGTTAAAATTGTTATATTGTGCCTGACTCGCAGACCTTTACTCGAGAACAAACATTGGGTAACCAACTTAACCTTCCAAAAATGACACAATGTCACATAAATTGCATCTTCAGTATTAGGTATATAAATATTTCAAGAAATCCCAGAAAGTTAATTATGCGATACTGTACTCACCGAATAGTGGAAGTGTGGGAAGCTCTGGGAGACGATGGGGGTCCGAGGCAGGGGATGAAGGCTAGTTGAATTCAAAGCCTTCAGGGAAGAGATTACCTTCTGATTCGGCTTGTCGTTTAATTTTGACGTCAAATTAATTTTTTTTCTATATTTAATATTTTATATTGTCAATAATAAAACACAAACCATAGGAGGTCGAGTATAATAGAATATAATAATGAATAAATAAAAAACTGAAAAACTGGGTAACGCAGCACAGCCAGTCCCACCCATCTGATGACTGATCATGGAAGAGATTACCTATGTACAGTACAGTTCCTTCTGATTCAACTTATCATTTTATTTTGAAGTCAAATTATATCGGATTTTGTTCTAAATTCAATACTGTATGTTATATAATTTATGATGAAACATACACCATAATTGGCTGATCATACAAGAATATAATAATGACTAAATAAAAACAAACTGGCAAACATGGCAACAACCAGCACGTTTACACTTGATGTGTCATCTCTCGTACCTACTAGCTCTGGTTAGGTCTATATTATTCTGTTTAGACCACTGTACACTATCCCCATTAAAAAAAATACAATATATATTTTAATAATAAACAAAGTAATATATTTTATAAAAAATACTTATGGTACACATTTATAATGTCCAATAACTAAAATCACTAAATTTGGGGCAGTAGCCCATGTTACTCTCACCAATATGTCAAGGGTTCGAGCCTCGGCCCACACACACATGAGAAGTGTGTTATCCAGTGTAACCCTACCAAACATTACAGGTTTCCCAGAGTCTAGTATCCTCCTGTACTAACACTAGATAGACCAACAGCCTGAATGGCTATCAAGTTGATATTTGGCAAAAAAAAATTTATAAAAAATTAACCTTTACTGGTACCCACGCTACCCATGGCTTTCCATGTAAGCTATAACTATGGTCACATTTCAACCATTCGCATAAGCAATAATTGCACACACGAGACCGGCACAAAATGAGACCCAACTGTAATTTGATCATGAATGGGGGAGTATAAGTATGCAGTGGGAGAGCAAAAATAAGGCTGACAACCCTGTTCAACACTGCTTGAACTTTCTTCAGTAGATAATTAGGTAGGCAGAGTCATAAAATACTACAATAGTCAACCCAACATATCCGTTGAGACATTGTTACATAACTATTTGACAAATTTCATAACCGAATGACAGAACACATATCGAATGACAATCTAAAATAACTGTTTGTTCATGCTAACGGAAGTGATTGACATAAGTTATGAAGTTGACAGACGTGAACAATAAACCGACAGTCTACATATAGTTTGAGAATGTAACAATTGGAGAATGACATACCACCAACAGTTATTTTAGATTGTCATTTGATATGTGTTCTGTCATTCGGTTATGAAATTTGTCAAATAGTTATGTAACAATGTCTCAACAGATATGTGAGAAGGTGTAGTGTAACAGAACACTTACATTCAAAAACTGTTTAACGGCATACAGTATAGATTTCGAATATGAAAGTTGCAACTCTGAACTACTGAATTTATATGTTATTTAAAATTCAGTTTTGAGTTAAAGTAAACTCCAAGATTACAATCAGAATGTAACAGTGTCACGAGTTAGTGAGTATTTCCCGCCAAGCATGAGCCAATCGCAGTGACTTGTGAGCGTGAATGCCTTAGGCCTAAACCAATAAGGATAGCCTGTTTTTTCTTGACTTCATGAAGATGTTGCGCCATTGTAGGCCATCTTAGTTTTCAAACACAGAGTCTGGTTGAAACTGGTTTAGTGTAGACGTACGTCTAGTCAACTAGTTTTCAGCATGTCGATATATATATCTCAGTGAGTACACTTAAGGTTTTATCTGTTTCACGAAATGTATTGTGATTCATGTGACCCCTGTTTAACTAGCTAGGAAAATAGTTTATTGTTTTGAAGTATAACTGTCAATCTCAACAGAAGGTGTTCAATAAACAAAGAACCGTTAAAAAGTGATATAAATTTCCCCTCTTGGTTTTGAGCAAAACATTTTCATACATGTCTTTGGTGCTATGCAGTGACACAATGAGTCCTGAGTAACAACACACCTATCACCTGTTTCCCCTAGTGTTTCAGTTATCACATGTTATTCCTGTTCCCCATTTATCATAGTACCCCGTCCATTCTTCCTCCGTCTTCCCTTGTGCGAGGGCCTAGCCTAACCACAAACCAGCCTTGAGCCTCCTCTCACTCGCCACCCCTCCCTCTCTCCCTCCTTCCTCAATTCTTCCGCCTCACCAGTCACCTCACCCCCCTCCATCTTATGAATATACAGAGAATGAAATAAAGAGAAGAATAAAGAATTAAGAACTAAGAACATTAAAAGGTAAAATAAAAGGTATTGTTACAAGAATCAACAGGACTGAGTTACACTTCTCCAAAGTTTAAAGAGCGAAAACCATGTGTGCCGTCTCCCCTCCTATTTCCTTGGATGACGATAATCTCTGTTTTGCTGTCATTCAGCTTAAGTTTTCTCCTCGCCAATGTCAGACATCAATATCCTCGACATATATTATTTGCACATAAAGCTGTGTATCATTGGCATAGGGATGGTAGGCATCACCATGAGCATCCAGCAGTGATGCAAGACTACTGATACTAAAAAAATAAATAAATAAAGATGGCAGCAGTCACAAGCACCTACAGTACATATGTTCGTTGTGTAAATCGCTCTTTTCATATGATTATGTCAGAGTGAGGTAATTTCTGCAGAAACTTAACTAATTAACTGCGGGTGTTGGTATCCCGAATGAAATACCATGCTAGTGGTGGTGGACTGGTGGTATAGGGGTAACATGAGTTATCTTTCACCACTTCCATCACTGTCATGGGTATGAGTTTGGCGTGGCCCTGACACACGTAGGAAAGGTGTTATACATGACACTGCCAAACATCACAGGTTTCCTCCTGTACTAACACCAAAAAAATAAAGTTTATAACAGAGTAACAGAATGGACTAACTGCACAAAGGTCTAGGTCTAGTAAGGTGATAAATAATAATAATATCCATAATAATAAAAAGTCAGTGAGAGAAGAAACACATTCAGCTACAGTAGAACGTCGATTTAAAGCAATTCAAGTTAAGTTTATTGATTTAAAGTGACACACACACAATTAAGGACAATGTTTTAATTTAAAGCGAATCTTTCCTATTTTGCCTGAGTCAATCTGGCGCATCATGTTTTGAAATTTGCGCCTAATGTTTCTCTGGGCGCACTACACTGTCCGAAGGGCAAAACTGTACTGCACATGTACTCAAAATAATGTACTAAATGATTACCTGTACTAAAATTTTTGTCTAGTGCAAACTATAACATGATTATATTCAAATTAATCACTATCTTATAAGAATTCTAGCATTGTAAATTATATTCTCCCTGGTCACTTCTGTGACATTTTATAAAAAAAATGCAAACTCAATCCAAAGGACATAAATAAACAAATAAATACTTCACTAGACCTTCAGCCCTAACTGTCAAACATGTCAC